CCAGCAAACTCATCGGCCCCTAATCAACCCCCAACCGAAGATCCTCCATTTACATATGAGGAATCATCTGGAGAGCCAGACCTCCAAGAGCAATCATTGCTCCTAGAGCATTTGAGGAGCTTCGGCTATAAGTTGCCACACTAACTTAGTTGCTGAATCAAAGAAATTTGCATCCAACACCACTACCACAGGATGGTTTTATGGCAGATGCTCGAGCTCGTGCTTCATGCCCCGACAACAGTGATGTCGAAACTTCGGGCATACCTCATTTGGTCTCGAGCTCGAGATCAATTAAGATAGACTCTGCTAAATAGCCAAGACGACGGTATGCTTCAGAATACTCAGGCAACAACAGGGTTTACCCCTAACATACGTTTTACTTCTGAAGTCTTATCATACCCTTGTAGGATAGATTCAAATATCCTCGAATAAAGGAGCACGATGGGATAACTGGCCCATCAATCATCTCAACGTATACACAAATATCATGAACTTGCAAGCTATACCTGATGCGGTAATGTGCAAGGCCTTTCATCAGACCATTACAAATGTGGCTAGAGATTGGTTTTCCACATTGGAACCCAACTCTATAGCTTTCTTCTCAGAGTTGATCAATAAATTCTTTGCTTTCTTTGCAAGCAACAAGCGTATCAAGAAGACATCTGCGTCACTCGTGCAGATGTGTTAAGGGCCCAATGCATTTCATAATTTCATGACTAGGTTTAATAAAGAAAGACTTCAGATTCATGATCTACATATCACAATCACAATCTCAGCTTTAATATATGCCATAAGGTGTGTGAAGCATTTTAAAATGTTTCTGTCAAAGATCTTCCAAAGTCAGTTACCAAATTACTTACTTGAGCTGAGAAATACAATAATATGGAGGAAAGCATGTTCCCAATGAGAGATGCCCCATCATCAAGTAGGCATGTTCAGAAAAGGCCACATGAGTTTAATCTACGACAGGATCTTTCTCGAGTTAAGCCAAGACCCTCCTCCAACATCTTTCACTCGAACACCACGAGGTCTAACATTTTGATAAAGATCAAAGACCTTAAAGAAATTAAATGGCCTCCAAGTTGTAAGCTCCACTTGATACCCGCGATAAAAATCAAGTAATGTGATTTTCATCAAGACCACGGGCACACGACCGAAGAATGCTTTGCTCTGAAGTGAGAAATTGAAACTCTTCTCACTCTCAGTCCTTGAATCGTGATACATGTAATGACTGTATAAAAAATTTGACTCTTTTGTACTCGCTATAGGGTTTCAGAGAAGTAAGTTTGAACATTGCTCGTACTTCCAATATGATCATGCCAACAATGACTGTGTGTTTTTATTGTTGTATGTGAATGATATGCTTTTGATTGGTTCGTCACCAAAATGGATAAGTAAGATAAAAATGAATTTGAATGGGGAATTTGACATGAAAGACCTAGGAAAAGCTAAGAGAATCCTAGATATGAAAATTGAAAGAGATAGGTCAAAGTTAGCCTTATTCTTGCATCGGTCATCTTATATTTCAAATTATTGTAACGATTTGACATGTACGAGTCCAAACATGTTACATTAACTTTAGCTAATCATTTTGTATTATCTAAAGATCGAGCACCTTGTAATGAAAAGAAAATAGAATACATGAATAAGATACCATACTCTAATGTGATTGGTTCTATTATGTACTTATGGTTTGCACCAGACCGGATTTAGCTTTTACTGTTAGTACTTTTATTAGGTATATGTTTAATTCGGGCCTTGAGCATTGGAGAGCCTTAAAATGGATGTTAAGATATCTAAAGAGAATTTGTAATGTAGGTCTAAAGTTTGGTGTTAATAAAGAGGGTATAAAATTAAAAGATTTTGTAGATGTAGATTATGTAGGAGACAAAGATAATAGAAAATCTACTTCGTCCAATGTGTTTACTTTGTCAAACTTTTGTGTTAATTGGAAGTCATAGTTACAACACATAGTTGTCCTATCCACAATTGAATCCCAATATATTGCCACCACCGAGGCAATCAAAGAAGCTTTGCGACTTAGGGGTCTACTTCATGAACTTTGTGTGTTAAATGACTATGTGGTAGTTTATTTAGATAGTCAATCTTTCATACATCTATGCAAAAACCATGTCTTTCACGAACGTACCAAATACATTGATGTTAGACTGAGAGACATTGTGTCAAATGATGTGGTAAGACTTGAAAAGATACATACACACTATAAGCCCTCGTACATGGGTACAAAGTGTTGTCATTAGTAAAGTTTAGAAGTTGCTTGGACCATCTAAACATTGGTGGAGGTAATTGACTTCCAATTTTATTAGTTCCCTGTATTAGAAGTATAACTAACAGGTGTTAATGTTTTCTTTGCGGGTCTTTTAACATCAAGGTGGAGATTTGTTAGTCAAATTGTTGTCAAACGACCTCCCTGAACTATGATGTTAATTTGATTTATTTTTCAGTTGGCATTGACCAAATGACCGAACATTAAATGACGCCTCAAATGAAACGATCTGATCCCAAAATTGTTTTGGGCCATGAAACAGACTAATTTAAATTAGTGCTGCTTATAGTCCCTTTTACCTGGACAACTAAATAAAGGGGATTCCACTTACCGACCCACTTAACTATGTGTTGGGCTTCTTTTTGACATTACTATACCCTATCCCTACTTACCTTAACTATCCCATTGCTTGGTTATAGTTTCCCTTGTCTCGGTCTCTCTGTGCATGAAAAAATCGTCTGCCTCTCTTGTGATCTCTCTGCCCATCTTTGTTCGTTCATTTTTGCTACCTTTGTGGTTACTCTCTTTGCGATTTCATTCTCCTTTGTGGTTCTCTAAGTGGGTGAACTTTAACAACTGTAAGTAGAGAGACGACAAAGGAGGTTTTGCCGAGGAAAACTAAGTCCGGCTCAAGCCTTGGTGGTCATAATCTTCCGCTCAGCACATCTCTCTCCCATTCCACCAAACATTTGGCCTTCATTTTTTTCAACACTTCTTGAAAACCATTTTCGTTTCTTCACAAAGCCACTTCAGATCAATTGGCTATATCTCCTTTAAAGCGTCACAAAATTGCCTTCTCTGATGGGGTCTCGCTCAACCAAAAAATTGAGCCTCCTTGGAAGCATTTGCAGAACTTTCTAACCAGTCATGTTTAGCAGAAACAATTGGTTTGAGGCAAATATGGCATTCTAGAACAGATCGAATGTTGGTGTTCTTCAGATTAAATTGAAAGATTTCTATGCAAAAGAGAAATCCCACAAAGAAAATTGAGCGAGTTACCTAAAATTGATGTTGGATTTGATGAAAATTTGAACTCCCACAATAGATGCATAGGAACTTGCAGAAGTGCTCCGATTATCAAGTTGGCTGATGATGGTGGTTGGCCAATGGCAACTTAATGTATATCTTGAACTGAGGCACAGAAATGGATAGAAAATAATTGCTCACAGAATTAAGGAACTCTTTCTAATTGGAATCTCTCCAAGACAATGATTTGGGTTTTCAAAAAAATCAATATTTGCCTTTATTAACAACGAACGGTGGCTTTAAAAATCCAATTTACAATAACGGAATGGAGAAAATTAAGCAACTAATAACTAGCTAACTCTTACGATACAAAGTCTTAGGAGTGGATTTGCTAAAACAAGGGAAGATTGGCCAAAACAGGGAAAATGGGGCCAATTTATTATAACTGAAATTGAAAGTGAAAGTGCTGCATCTGATAACCATGATCTTGCCACATCTGCAAATGCGTGTCTCAATTCTGCCAATTCTGCCAGCTATCTGATCATGTTACCTGGGGCTGCCACGTAATGCATCAATTGCCTCCCTCTCCAGAACTTAACTCCGGCAAGTTTTTCTGAAGATAGGAGTGCAAAATTTCTGGCTGAAGGCGCAAGATTTCATCTGCTTGGAGCCACACAGCATCTGAAGGTGGCTTATTGGCTCACTGGACAAGGAATTTGTGGTAACCTCCTCGATGAGTGGAAACAAACTGATGGTCGAGAATGGCAGATATTTTTTCCATAGGAGTGGAAATAGGGGGAAGATGGATTGGGACTTCAGTTGGCTGCTCAATGTGCTCAGTATCCGTAGGGAAGGCAGTGAGATCTTCAATATTGAAGACGGGGCTGATGTTGAAATCAGAAGGGAGTTCAACAACATATGCATTAGAACCAAGACGCTTCAAGATCTTGTATGGATCTGCCCGTAGTGCATGTAATTTGCTGTAGCTACTAGGGTAGAATCGCCTGGGGCGTAGGCGAATGAAGACCTGGTCACCTACTACAAAATGTTTCTCTTTGCATCGTAAATTAGCATGTTGAGCATATAAATCGGTCTGCAAAGCAATTTTCTGCTGCACTTCTTTATGCAAGGTTGTCATGTAGCGAGAGAAATCAAGGCCTGCTTCACTGATACGCTGTGGTAGAGGCAAGGGGCTGATGTCCAGTAGTGTCTTTGGGTTATCCCCATAAACAAGCTGAAAAGGTGTGCTTCCAGTAGTCCTATTAATAGAATTGTTGTAGGCAAATTTTGCCTGAGGTAGAATGAGATCCCAGCTGGTGGAATGGTCTTGAACAAGACAGTAGAGGAGGTTGTCGAGGCTACGGTTGACAACCTCTGTTTGCCCATCAGTTTGTGGGTGAAACGAGCTAGAGAAGGATAGTTTAGTGCCCAATTTTGCCCACAAGGTCTTCCAAAAGTAGCTAATAAACTTGACATCACGGTCGGACACAATGGAGGCAGGTATGCCATGCAACCGAATGATCTCTTTGAGGAATAATGCTGCTACATGGGAGGCATCATAGGTTTTCTGGCAAGGCAAGAAGTGAGCCATTTTGGAGAAGCGGTCCACGACAACCATTATTAAGTCATGATGTCTCTGGGTTCTAGGGAGACCCAAAACAAAATCCATACTCAAGTCCACCCAAGGGCGATGGAGAATTGGCAAAGGTGTATAGAGTCCCGTGTTCTACTTCGTCCCTTTATTTACCTAACATGTGCGGCATTGAGCAACAATTTTGTGGACATCACGTCTTAGTCGTGGCCAGTAAAATCGATCTGAAGTTAAAGCAAGTGTTTTATCAAAGCCAAAATGCCCAGCTAAGCCGCCACTATGGAGTTCGTTGATGATGAATGCTCTCATTGATCCTACTGGAACACAGATGGGGGAATCTTTAGTCAAAAATCCATCCTTAATTGCATATGTGGACATAGAAGGAGGTGGGTTTTGTTGCAGCTCTGACCAGATAGTTCTGAAGTCTGGGTCCGTTGAGTAGAGCTCCTTTAGGGCTGCAAAACCAGAAATATTAACCGAAAAAATAGTCAGGAGGTTGGGCCTTTGGCTGAGGGCATCAGCTACTCTATTTTCCATTCCTGCCTTATGCTTGATGGTGAATGTGAACTGTTGTAGGTAGTCAAACCACCTGGCGTGCCTTGCATTCAACTGGCTTTATGAGTTGATATGTTTCAAAGAGTCATGGTCAGTAAAGAGAACGAACTCACGATGAAGGAGGTAAGGCCGCCAATGCTTCAAAGTCTGGATGAGGGCATAAAATTCCATGTCATAAGTTGAATAGCGTTGCCTGCATTCATTAAGCTTTTCACTAAAAAAAGCAATAGGATGTCCCTCCTAGCTTAAAACTCTTCCAATGCCAATGTGTGAAGCATCATAGGCAACTTCGAAAATTTTCGTGAAGTCTGGAAGCCGCAAAATTGGTGCAGTGGCCATGCGTTCTTTGATTTTTTTAAATGCACGGGCTGCCGCAGGGGTCCAGTTAAATTTTTTTTCCTTCAAGCACTCGGTAATGGGTGCCATAATTGTGCTAAATCCATGTATGAACCTTCGATAGAAGGTAGCCAGACCATGGAAACTGCGAACGTCAAAAAAAGAATGAGGTACTGGCCAATTAAGAATGGACTTCACTTTGGATGGATATGCTTCTACCCCCCTGTGGGATACAATAAAACCCAGAAAATTAGCACTAGTTTTTATGAAAGAACACTTATTTCTGTTGACCAAAAGTTGTTCTCGACATAGGGTGTCCATGACTTGTTGAATGTGATTGAGATGGTCTAATTTGGAACGGCTGAAAATTAAGATATCATCGAAGTAGACTACGACGAATTTTCCTAAGAATGGCTTCAGTGCCTAGGTCATAACACGCATGAAGGTGCTGGGGGCATTGGTTAGCCCGAAGGGCATCACAAGCCACTCATAAAGTCCTTCTTTAGTCTTGAACGCAGTTTTCCATTTGTCCCCAGGCCTTATACGAATTTGATGATAACCGCTTTGCAAATTGAGCTTTGTGAATAGTGCAGCTCCCCTAGCTGATCCAACATATCATCGAGGCAAAGAATGGGAAAGCGGTATTTGACAGTGATTTTATTAACCGCCCTACTGTCAATACACAATCTCCAGCTTCCATCTCTTTTGGGTGTAAGTAGGGCTGGTACCGCATAGGGACTGAGGCTTTTCCTGATAAAACCCCAATCGAGAAGTTCTTGCACTTGTCTCTGTAATTCTGCATGGTATGTTGGACTCATGCGGTAGTGAGGGAGGTTGGGTAGTGTTGAACTTGGAACCAAGTCTATGGTGTGCTGAATGTCCCTCATAGGTGGGAGCTGATGGGGGCTTCTGGCATTAAATCAGAAAATTCTTCAAGGAGTTGGCCCAATTCATGTGAGATTTTGCCGTCAGTTTCTTTGGTGGCCCATCCCAGAACTAAGAAGATAAGAGGTCCAGTCTTTGCAACCTTGGTGAACTCTCTAAGAGTTAGTAATGTGCTGGACTCCTTAGGTGACTCAAACTCCACGATGGGTAAGGGCTCAAGTATAAGTCGCCTGTTTTGGAAAATAAAGGAATAGGTGTTATGAAAACCATCATAGCTCACCTTTCGATCATAGAGCCATGGCCGTCCCAAGAGTAGGTGACAAACCGTCATTGGCAGGACATCACACCAAACCTCGTCAGAATAGTGCTTTCCCAAGGAGAACTTGATGAGGCAACGATTCTTTACTAATACTGAATTGACGTCATTAATCCATCCAACCCGATATGGGGTGGGATGTAATTCCTGTTGCAATCCCAACTTGTCCACTAAATCTTTAGAGACAACATTCATGCCACTCCCATTATCAATGATAACATTAAGCGCGTGACCATCGTGCTCCAATCTGGTGTGGAATATGGTTGTTCTCTTCCATTCATTGTTCCCCTGATTTGGTTTGCTACCAGTTAATACCCGCTGAACGACACAAAGAGGAAGTTCAGTAGCGGTCAATCTCTCTTCCTCAGGTTCAGTTTCCTCTGGTTTAGGTTCTATTTCATGGCTCTTTCCTGCTCTCACATCGTCGTCAAATACCAAGTCCTTCTCATAGATGTAGGCAACTCGCCGATCCTTTGTAGGGCAAACAACTGCAAAATGCCCAAAACCTTTGCATTTGTAACATTGTGGGCCATCTCCAGCTATCTTTGCCTTTCCTCTCCCATCTCCAGATTTTGTTTGGTCATATGCATGCTTCTGGGCAGGTATATTTGTAGTGTGGGGAGTCCCTGCAGCTGTGTATTGGAAGTGATGAGTATTGCCTACAGTCGGTTGCCTCTCGAGCTGCAACGCCAATTGGTATGCCTCTTCAACGCTATAGACTCGAGCGGTTAGCATATCCTTCCGAAACTCAACTTTGAGGCCAGTCAAATATCAAGCCAGTGTTTGGGCCTCCGTTTCAACAACCTTACTTCTCACTGACAGCTCATGGAATCATTCTGTATACTGATCCACCGTGACTTTTTTTTCCTGGTTCCATTGTAGCAAATCCTCGTACATTAATTGTTCATAATTAACAGGAAGATATTTGGTTTCTAACCTTTCTTTCATCTCTGCCCAATCTAAAATTGGGGGCTGATTGGTTCGTTGAAGTTGCTCTTCAATGCTACTCCACCATGCTCGAGCTGGACCTTTGAGTTTGAGTTTGGCGAACCGTACTATCGATCTTCAGGTACAGAAAACCAATCAAAATAGTCTTCCAATGCAGTGATCCAATCATGGAAGGCATCTGGATTTAGTCTCCCCATGAAATCAGACACCTCTACCTTCATTCTCTTAGTTAACTCATCCATGGGATCTTAGTGTGGAATAGGCCTGTGCGGCTGTCCAGGTGCAACTTGGTGGGTCTACCTTGGAACCCCGCCCATTGGCACTTCCCATTCATCATTACTGTCTCCCACCTCTTCCCTCCTTAGACGACCCCGAAATTCGCCTCGTGTCCCTCTCACGCCATCACTACTGCTACGGCCTTCAATGGAGTCCAGTCAGTGCATGACAACACCCAATGTCTGAGACAATTGATCAAGCTGCTGCTGAAAATTGGCTGGAGGTTGAGTGGGTTGTGTGTTTGGATTGGTGGGTGGTTCAGAAGGAATAGGGTTATGGGATGCTTGTTCCATTGAATTGTAGGACCTCCCGGTTCTGGTCTCAGGCATAGGGAAGTGATTCAGAATGGAACTTGCTCTGATACCAAAATAATGTATATCTTGAACTGAGGCACAGAAATGGACAGAAAACAATTGCTCACTGAATTAAGGAACTCTCTTCCTAATTGGAATCTCTCCAAGACAATGATTTGGGTTTTCAAAAAAATCAATATCTGCCTTTATTAATGGTGGCTTTAAAAAGCCAATTTACAATAACGGAATGGAGAAAATTAAGCAACTAATTACTAGCTAACTCCCACGATACAAAGTCTTAGGAGTGGATTTGCTAAAAAAAGGGAAGATTAGCCAAAACAGGGGAAATGGGGCCAATTTATTATAAATGAATTTGAAAGTGAAAGTGGTGCATCTGATATCCATGATCTTGACACATCTGCAAATACGTGTCTCAATTCTGCCAATTCTACCAGCTATCTGATCATGTTACCTGGGGCTGCCACGTATTGCATCACAACTGCTCGTAATGGCTGCCATTGGAGGGTGGGGATTGGAGTAGGAGGGTTTTAAAGTTGCAAATGAGAAGAAGAAATGAAGAATTTGGGGTGAAGGATTTAGGAGGGTTTTGGAAACGATAAAATAGAACAATAAAGTTTTGGGGGGAAGAAGAAGAAGTGGGGTGGGGTGAGAAATAAAAATTTTAAAAGTTTGGAATCGTAGATGATACATAAAATATATGGGTATAATTTTGCAAAAGAGTAAAAAATTCGGATACTAAAATTGTAATTATTTTTTTTTTTAATTTCGACATTTTTTACTGTTTTTAATGGCATGGAATTTTTTGCACAAAATGTTACGATAAAGGGGTATATCGAACCTTTTTAGGGAATTTTCTGTTGTCCTAACACCAAGAAACGTTTGACCTTGTAATCTTATTAATTCCAGCTATACTCCCACAACCCAAATCCCCCGTCAATCTTGTTTTCTCTTGGCCGCGCGTGTTCCACTCGCTGTC